CATCTGAAGAAGTGGGTTTTACCCATGAAAGCTTATGCCCAAATAAATCTGTTAGTCTTTAAGGTGCCACCGGACTCCTCGTTGGTTTTATTAATGATCTGGATGATGGGATAGTTTTGTACCCTCAGCAAGTTCATGGATGACAATAAGCTGGGGGGAGAGGTAGATATGCTGGAGGGTAGGGATAGGGTCCAGAGTGACCTAGACAAATTGGAGGATTGGGCCAAAAGAAATCTGATGAGGTTCAGCAAGGACAAGTGCAGAGTCCTGTGCTTAAGACGGAAGAATCCCATGCATCGCTACAGCCTGGGGACCGACTGACTAAGCAGCAGTTCTGCAGAAAAGGACCTGGGGATTACAGTGGATGAGAAGCTGGATATGAGTCAGCAGTGTGCCCTTGTTGCCAAGAAGGCTAACGGTATATTGGACTGCATTAGTAGGAATGTTGCCAGCAGATCGAGGGAAGTGATTATTCCCCTCTATTCGGCACTGGTGAGGCCACATCTGGAGTATTGCATTCAGATTTGGGCCCCCCACTACAGAAAGGATGTGGACAAATTGGAAAGAGTCCAGTGAAGGGCAATGAAAATGATCAGAGGACTGGGGGCACATGACTTACGAGGAGAGGCTGAGGGAACTGGGCTTATTTAGTCAGCAGAAGAAAATAGTGAGGGGGGATTTGATAGCAGCCTTCAACTACCTGAAAGGGGGGTTCCAAAGAGGATGGAGCTCGGCTGTTCTCAGTGGTTGCAGATGACAGAACAAGAAGCAATGGTCTTAAGTTGCTGTTGGGGAGGTCTAGGTTGGATATTAGAAAACACTTTCACTAGGGGGGTAGGGGGCACATAACAATCTTCAAATATGTGAAAGGTTGTTTGAAAGAGGACTGTGATCAGATGTTCTCCATGTCCACCGAGGGTAGGACAAGAAGTAATCGGCTTAGTTTGCAGCAAGGGAGATTTAGGTTAGGTATTAGGAAAAACTTTCTAGCTATAAGTAGTGGTAAGCACTGGAACAGGTCATGTAGGGAGGTTGTGGAATCCCTGTCACTGGAGGTTTTCAAGAATAGGTTAAACAGACATCTGTCAGTGATGATCTAGGATTACTTGGTTCTGCCTCAGATCAAGGGGTTCTGGATTAAATAACTTCTTGAGATCCTTTCCAGCCCTATATATTTGTGAAGTCAATTAACAATTCTGTTAATGATGAGTGATTTAGAACAGAATCCAGCTTGCTCACTCAGGGTTCTGCCAGGTTATTATAAATAAAATGTAGTCACTAAAATGAGCAAGTTCTGAATACTCTTGGAGGATATTGGTTGAGTAAGGTATTGCTCAATAGAGTAGTACTTTGCTCTAGCAGTGGGTTCGTAAGGAGGGCATCCATCCCTACTTCCTTTCAGAGGTGGAGTGAACCACTGATGTTAAATGTTATAGACATTTTGGTACCCACAGCTGCAGAGTTTGACTAGTAACTGGGCTCTCAGTGAATTCATTCCAAGATTGATTTTCAGATGAAAATCAATTTAATTTTGAGTCTTTAATCGTTTAATTGCTGTGTTTCAGCTTGGCATGACATACCTGGTAAAAGGATTATGCTCTGAGAGCCAGTGTGTGACCTAGTTTTATTTAAATCACTTGAGCATGTCGTTAAGAATTTTTCAGTTTGGCCTTACAGTCTGAAACTACTAACACTTTGATCTATGAAAAGTACAATGCTTATCACAAAGCAGCATCAAAACTTAAATGTGTCACTTCACTGCTTGTGCTAGATCTGTTGTCCCATATGTTCTTTACTTAAATGTCCCCCAGATTTTCTTTTCTTTGTGCTACTTTTGTGGACAGTAATATTTACAATGTAATAGACATTCAATCGTACTCTAGGTTTCAACAGGGGCAAGGGTATTCTTCATCTGGAGAGTTTTCCTTTGCCTTGACACCCGACAGGTAGTCTAACTCTGTCACCCTCTGCTCTCAGTATAATCAGCTTATGTTTTAATCTTTGGAGACCTGAAAGAGATTTATGAACTGATTACAACAGAAATTTAATCACCATAATTAGTTTCCTCACTGAATCTAAGACTTTCCCGAAGGTAGAATCTGTCCACCATGGAGGTGGAGAAGGTCTTTTAATAGCACCTGACAAGCACGCTGCATCATGGGAGCTCTGAGTTTTTATCATCTCACCGGGGACACGGAGCTTCAGCAATGTTGCTTGTTCTCCACTGAGTTGCTTCCAGTGTAAAAGAGAAGAATGGCCATACTCCAGTCTAAATGGATTCAGCACTTCCAACAAGTGTGCTGAAGTCTAGAGATGTAGCAATCTTGGATGGAATTGGATAACATTGTGTGGTGTGGCTAGTTCTGTGCTGTGACATAATCTGGGGGGATAGTAACATGAAACATAAACGTGAGATTCAGACATTGTAAGCCTAGACTCCCCAAACCAGTAGAAAATGTACTGTAGGGAATGATCTTGTACAGGGCCCTGGGAAGTGGCAGGACACGGCACAGTAGACAACTTTCTTCACCCACCTTTGTGAATCTATAAGAAAATGCCTAATAGGAAAGACTGGTGTTTGGATTTTTTGCATTACTGAAAGTCTGAACTGTGGAAGTGAAAGGAGTTGCTAGTCAATTTAGAGAGAGAGAGAGGGTAGTTTTTCTATTTTTATATCCATACTTCTGTTTAACTCTTTCCTGAGTGTATGATTAACAATTTGTAGACCTGCCATCCCAAGACAGATGTGATCATATAAAATGTTCACAGCTAGGCACTGGGATGCCAAAGGGAGATTTACAAAAGAGCTGCCACAATCTCCAGTGTTGTAAGTGGCAAAAATTTGTCCTAGATTGAGGCCTGGTCTACACTTACAAGTTAGGTTGACATAGCTACAGTTAACAGGAGTGTGAAAACTTCACTCCTCTGAGCATCATAGTTAAATGAACCTGACCCCTGGTGTAGACATGGCTAGGTCAATGGAAGAATTCTGCCATTGACCTAGCTACTGCCAGTTGCTGTGGAAGAAGCATTCCACTGCAGGGAGAGCAGCTCAGACACTACCAGAGAAGCAAGACCAGCTCACATGAGTGGGGATGAGGGGGCGGAGAAAGGGATGTAGGGGTTGAGATCCCCCTAGAGGGACAGGGGAGCCCCCATATCCTGGAACACTTATACCAGGGGAGAATGTGGGGTGACAGGCACCCTTGCATCTATTCTCCCCCAGTCTCCCTTCCCAGTGTCCCTCCCTCCTCTGAACCTCTCCATCCCTCTTACCTCCCATCCCTATTTATTTATCCCTCTCCCCTCGATGCAGCCCCAAACCCCTCTCACTCCTCTTCCCCCTAAAATGTCCTTCACTGGAAACAAGCATTTGCGCATCTAATTTTATTTTACAAGAATACTTTATTACATTTCCCACCCATTCCCTGCCCCCCCAAAAAAACTCCAAACACTGATGCACAGATTTTAAGCAATATGCCCTGAGACCATGTCCAGATTTCTGCCCAAGATTGGGCTCAAACTGACACTGGCTGTGTGGGTTAGAGTTAAAGAACTACTGCTTATCTCTTGAGCTATCCAGGTGATGTGAAATTTTGAAGGCTACACATTCTGTTAATTCTTCTGTCCATGTCTGCACAGTGTAATCTATTACAGTGGTTTTCAAACTTTTCTGGCGACCCAGTTGAAGAAAATTGATGCCCGTCACCCTACGGAGCTGGGGACAAGGCGTTTGGAGTGTGGGAGGGGCTCAGGGTTGGGGCAGGGGGTTGGGGTGAGGGCTGTGGGATGGGGCCGGGAATGAGGGGTTCAGGGTGTGGGAGGGGGCTTTGGGCTGGGGGTGGAGGCTCTGGGGTGGGGCTGGGGATGAGGCGCTTGGGGTGCAGGAAGGAGCTCCGGGTTTGGGGGGGCTCAGGGCTGGGGCAGGAGATTGGGGCGTGGAGTTGGGGCGCGGGCTTACCTAGGGTGGCTCCCGGTTAGAGGTGCAGTTGGGGTGCTAAGCCAGGCTTCCCGCCTGTCCTGGCACCGTTGACCATGCTGCGCTCCAGAAGCGGTCAGCAGCAGGTCTAGCTCCTAGGTGGAGGCATGCAAATGGCTCCGTGTGGCTCTCGCCTGCAGGCACCGCCTCCCCCCCACCAGCTCCCATTGGCCGATTCCTGGCCAATGGGAGTGCGGAGCTGGTGCTCAGGGCGGGGCAGCACACGGGACAGGGACCGCCCCCTGCCTAGGAGCTGAACCTGCTGCTAGCCCTTTCCAGGGCACAGCACGCTGTCAGAACAGGTAAGAACTAGCCTGCCTTAGCCGGGCAGCACCACCAACGGGACTTTTAATGGCCCGGTTGGTGGTCTGACCAGAACCGCTGTGACCCAGTGCCTTACATTCCGCGACCCAGTACTGGATCATGACCCACAGTTTGAAAACCACTGATCTATTACGCATATGATTTCTACCAAAAGGCTGGTGGGTGCCAGGCACTGTATTGAGGGAAGGGTGCGTGATCTCAGCCCTGGTTTAATTCCTATGGCAGCTGTTCTTCTAGGGCTATTCAAAAAACCTTGCCAGAATGAAGAAGAGGTCAGTGTAGCTGGAAAACTTGTCTCTCTCACCAACAGATGTTGGTCCAATAAAAGTTATTACCTCATCCACCTTTTTCTTTAACATCCTGGAACCAACATGGCTACAACAACACTTCAAATTGTCAGAATGTGTCAACTTTAAGAAAAGCATTTTTTTTCCAGGGGCTATATCTTGAGAACCTCTTGATCAAATGGTTCCAAAATTCGATCACTGACAGAACCCTGAGACCCTATGAAACGCATCTAATTTCACAGCAATCAAGGTAACCAGGCAGATTTTAGAGCACTTAGAGTCGAGCTTTAAACAGAAAGCTGGTCTTAACCTTAACTGTTGGTGATGCAGGAGATGAAATAGAAGCTAGCTCAGTTGTATTGGCTTGCAGGAGTTAAAAAGCAATCAAACCTAACTTTGATTATTAAAAATGGCAGATCTGATCCTAGATGCACACAGGAAGTAGATCTGTTCAATGTTTTGATTGTAGAAACCTACTTTGAGTCAGTCATGCTTTTTGTGTCTAAAGGATGTTTCCTGTTTGTCAATGCCTACCTTCACTTCCTAAGTGTCTGCCTTAGCTCCAGGGTGAGAGTCAGATGTAAGAATAGCAAAAGGATTTTTGTGATCTTTATATGAATAATTCTCTCCTCTTTGCTGTCAACAGGATACCTACAATATCTGTCAGGTCTGCTACAAGCAGCACTCTTCTGCTTGAGATTTTGACGTGTTTGGAATCAAACGTTGGTGTACTGCAGGGGTAGGCAACCTATGGCACGTGTGCCGAAGGCGGCACACGAGCTGATTTTCAGTGGCACTCACACTGCCCGGGTTCTGGCCACCGGTCCAGGGGGCTCTGCATTTTAATTTAATTTTAAATGAAGCTTCTTAAACATTTTAAAAACCTTATTTACTTTACATACAACAATAGTTTAGTTATATATTATAGACTTGTAGAAAGAGACCTTCTAAAAACGTTAAAATGTATGACTTGACTGGCACGTGAAACCTTACATTAGAGTGAATAAATGATGACTCGGCACACTACTTCTGAAAGGTTGCTGACCCCTGGTGTACTGTCTTGTGTGCAGGGCTTTGGCATTTCTTTTAAGCATTTACCGTTTAGCATAGTCAGAGGCAGAAGTCTGGGCTAAGTGTGCCTTTAATCTGCTCCAGTGCATTGCTATGATTCTAGTGTATATTCTATCAATGTAGAAAAGATCTCATCTTCACTAATGCTCAGCAATTTCACAATTAGCTTTGCATCAAAAGCAGTGGGAGTGGATGTCTCTAACTGGCCAGGGATGCTAAGAATGTATCCTCCATCTGGCAACATAGGCGCAGACTTCCCCTCTTTCCCCTGGGAGCTTGACACCTCCTCTGCCCCCAGCCCCACCCCCACTCCTTCCATGAGGCCCTGCCCCACCCCTTCCCTGCCCCCATTCCAACCCCTTCCCCAAAGTCCCTGCCCCAACTCCACCCCCTCCCTGCCAATATTCCAACTCCTTCCCCAAATCCCTGCCCTGGCCCCGCCTCCTCCCCTGAGCATGCCACATTCCCACTCCTCCTGCCCTCCCGGAGCATGCTAAGCGCTGCCAAACAGCTGTTTGGCGGTGGCCGGGCGGGAAGCGCTGGGAGGTAGGTGAAGGAGCGGGGACACGGCGTGCTCAGGGGAGGAGGAGGAGGAGGTGGGGCGGGGGGTGAAGGGAGCTTGGCTGCTGGTGGGTGCAGAGCACCCACTAATTTTTCCCTGTGGGTGCTCCAGCCCCGGAGCACCCACGGAGTCGGCGCCTATGTTTGCCAGTGCCAAGAATAGAAAGGGGGTTAATAGATCTCCCCACCATATCACAGCAGAGTAGTTTCCATAGCTTACATTTCCTCATCCAGAAAAGGTGGTATGCTACGGTACAAGAATTAGACCACCCTATTCCAGCATCAGACCCTACCAGTGATGTCTTCAGAACAGCACAGAGAGCCTTTTGAAACACCTTGTTAATCAAATGCCTCTCACAGTTAATATTAGGACTCCTTTCCTTAGGGCCAAATCCTGCAAACCCTTGCTCATTTGAGTAGTTCCAGCGAGTCCCATGGGACTACTCATTACTACAGAGAAGTTTCCATTCTCCTTCCCCGAACCACTTCAGACCCACAGTGCTGTAATTAGCTGTGTAGGCAGCTATTGTTCTTGTGTAATGGACTTCTGCCATTCCCTCTGATTTTAAGGAGCTTTTTATATGGTTGCATTTTCAATAAGCAAAATACGCCCATGTAATTCTCACTTCCCAAACCCTAATAAATGTAGGTGTTCTAACTATACTGATGTTAGCTAGCAGTAAAAACACTTGTACTTATTAAGATCAGAGATTTTTCTTAATCTACACAAATAGCAAAAATCTGGATTGAGCTTCCAACAGAAATGACTAGCATCTGGCTGGTACAGTAGCTTCTGTTTAGAAGAGATGCTGCTATTTTTGCTTTGTTCTTTGACATTTGCCAGCTGTCCTTTTGGGGAATTTTGTGGGGGAATTCCTTGAAGAAGCCTTGCCATTTTAACACTATTATTTTTTATCATTTCAGGCTTCACCATTCCCAATAGCTACAGAACCTCAGAAACCCCGCCCAAGAAAAGGTTTGTTTAAGGATGTGCTTACAATAGTATTACTTAGGTAGGAGAACATAAAAATATTGCTCTATGATGTGTAAACCTGTCTGAGGAGCACACATGTCCACTACTAAACTTATTCCCACTTGTGATCCAATCTGTATATGAATCATTTGTTTCCAGAGGTGAAAAGCGAGTATACTCATTTACTGCACCATCTGGTCTTTAATCACTTGTTTGTATGGCAGTGGTGGCCAAACTTCCTGACCCTCCGAAGTTCAAGAGCTGGGGCGTGCCTGCCAGTTGCTTGGGGCTTCAGCCTTGTGGCAGGGTGATGGGGCTAGGGGTTTCTGCCCTGCAGGGAGGGGGATCTTGGGGATTCAGCCCCATGGGAGGCACCTGTCTGGGCTCAGGGCTTCAGCCCTGCTTCTGCTGAAGTCCTGATCCCCGGCAGGCATGCCCCCTGTGGTTGAAGCCCTGAGACACCCCCCATCCCTGCTGGGCAGAAGCCAGAGGCGACATGAGGGGTCACATGCCCCTTTCTCCCCCCCCCCGATTTTTGCCAGGATTTGCTGGCCACACTTGGTCACACGGTGCGACTGGGCTCCCTCCCTGCACAGCAGTTGCTGGAGCTAGCAAGCTGGAAGCTGCGGTCATGGGGAGAGGCAGTGGCAAAAAGCTGGGAGTTGCAGGGAGAACTGCTGAGTGTAAGAGGGGGGTGTCCCTGGGGGGGGCAAACCTTTAAATTGTGGGCCCCTCGCCTCAGCAGGCACCAGTTGTCTCTGGCAGAAGTCCAAGCCCCACCACCCTGCAGCAGGGCAGAAGCCCTGAGTATGCACAGCCTCTCCCCCCTCCCTTTCCCAGTCTGGTAGGCGGAGAATGGGGGTGGAGGACACTGCAAGCCGCACTTTAATTGTAAAAGAGCCAGATGTGGCTCGCGAGCCACAGTTTGGTCATCTCGGTGTATGTTCTAAGAAAGCATTTATTTTATTAGATATATACTTACTGGGCTGTTCTGCAGTTTGATTTTCATTTCCCTCTTGATTGATATGGGTTTGCTCATTATCTATTCTATACATTCCTGGATTCTTTAAAGTGATGCTTTACCCTAAAGAAGCCATTGTGGAACTTCAGATTCATTAAGCTTAATTGATTTTTTTCATATAAAATTTCCTTGATTTGGAGGTAAAGTGATGTTTTTGTAACTGCCCTCCTCAAACTCGTTGTGGTATTTAAGTGGTTTGCACAGATTTAAAGGAAGGCCTCATTTGGCCTGCAGAGCCTCTTAATCGTGATGCTATATGAAATGGGAGGAAAAATGCAGCTTGTCTCTCAAATCCCTGAGGGTTTGTGGCGCTACCAGATAGATTATTATTATTTTACTTGCAAACTGAGCAAGTAAAATAATAATTATTTTGGAATAATTATTATGGAAATTGGTGAGAGAATTAATACTGAACTCCACAATGCCATTAATCCCTTTTCAGGGCCTATCACTCATTTAAGACAATTCAGGGAGCACTCAGCTTTGCTTCCAACACAGCTATTGATGTTTGGAATACGTTCTACCTCCCTCTCTGTGGGAAGTCCAGGCTGTAGTTCTAAGTGCCCTGTGATGCAGAGCCTTAGTGCTAACTGTCATCCTCTCCCTTGGCTCTCTATTTAAAGGGTGTAGATACAACATGAGTACTAAATGGGCACTTATTTGCAATCTTAATGGCAGCAGGATAATGTGTTATAACCTTTGACTTCTAAAGGCAAAGCTCTTCATTTGTTATATTGGAATTCTGCCATGGCTGAACTCAGGAGTTTAGAGAAACCACTTTGTTTCTCCTGAGGGGGAGGTCAAACTAAATGAAAGAAGGCTGTTGAGTCCTGTCAGCTGAATTCTAGCGCTGGAACAGGATATGAGGCAATATCCCAAAGCTGCTACTCTGTGGTTTCAGAACCCAGATCTTAAGGTTGCTGACCTGTGCATTGAGTTCAAGCCTCCATACAGCCTTTAGAAGTCAAAAGTTATGACACATTATCCTGCTGCCATTAAGATGGCAAATTGAGTTCAAGCCTCTGTACAGCAGATACCAGTTTTCATGTAGATCTGAGAGGGAGAGACTGTTAGAGCTGCAGGGTCTCTGTCAAAGTAGTTTAGCCCCAAAATGCCTTTCCCCTGACAGCCTTCTGTTCTGGGGTGCAAATGATGGCTGTATCATCCTGAAATGACTGACCCATGTCTTCCTAGATAGGCTGATCCTCCCACTTCCTGTGTGCTATGTTCCTTTCCTGGTCCTTCACATCCATCCTTTTCTGTGAAGCCTCCTACTCTGATCTCCTCTCCCGTGATGCTCCCACGCCTGAGTCGTTTTGCAATGTCTTGTGTGTGCATTATGTAATATTTGTATGAATTACATGGGGGTGGGGACATTGTCTTTCTGTTTCTAGAGCACGGTGTACACTTACAGTGCTCTAAAAATAGCAACTGTAGAGGGCCACAGATTTGATGTGAAGTTTGTCAAAAGACAAACTTTTGCTTCAAGGCCCTTTCCTGTAGTGCTGAGATCTATTAATCCATTCCTGCATAATTAATTTGTAAATTTAACAATCCCCCCAAAAATGTTGTCATCAACCTAACACACCAGTGGAGGTGGGTTGTGGTTGAAGATGGCATGCATTAGCTTAGTTGTTAGCTTAATTGTTAAATTGAGAGTCAGATGTCTTGCATCTGTTTGTGTGAATTTACGTTGATCGTTTGGGGAAACATGAGCTCCAGCAGCTAAGACTTCCTTGATGGGACCACCATTATGGCAGGTGGGATTTTTGTTCTGTGTAACCCCCTGACCATGTGCTATTTAATAATATTTTAGGAAAACCTCTCCGAAATTTTGAAAAGTCTCCATACTAATTCTGTGAACTTTGTTGTTGTTGCTATATTAGAAGACTACTCTCTGTGTCAAACTGAGAGCCCATCTCTCAGTCCCAGAAGACCCAACATCATTCAGTCTGCTATATGAACTTAAAGTGGAATTGGAAATGAGCTTTTTAATAATTAAGGATTTTTCTGAAAGCTTAGTGAAAATTCAAATGAGGGAAGCACTTGGAGCAGTGATAGTGAAAGAGACGTAGGGGTGACAGTAGCCAGATACTCAGATAGGACTTTACAATAAATTGTTTGGGTAGCAGGTAGGTGGATAGTCAATGTGGTTCTGGTCAGAACACACCTGAAACCAGGGTGAATTTGATTTAATCACTAGCCAGGAAGACTTGATTTAATCATGGATTTCTACACAGAAGTGCATTCTTATTGGTTGTTATAACCTTAATACATATTCTTCACAACTCTGAGATAGATGTAGGTTTCATTTTTAGAAGGTACACACTATACATTTTTAAAGTGATTTATTTTGGAAACTTTTCAGATTAGTTTTAAAGCTATATCAGAAAATGAATGATTGTTTGGTTATTTCATTTACCAAAGGTAATTGAAGCAGATATTTATGAAGCCATCGGTAGGTGAACTATCTCCAATACAACAGATGCATGCCGACAAAGTGGGTATTCACCCACGAAAGCTCATGCTCCAATACATCTGTTAATCTATAAGGTGCCACAAGATACTTTGCTGCTTTTACAGATCCAGACTAACACGGCTACCCCCTTGATACTTGTCATCAGTTTAGGCCATTCTTGATATAGTGCTCAAAACAGTCCACTACTGAGTTCCATCACACGTCTTGTGGGAGAGTTAGCTTGGTTCTTCCCACTTTTTTCAGAGTAGCTGCTGCAAAGTGGTTGTTACGGAAGTATTTTTAAAAGTCAACATTAGCCTTTATTTCTGGAACACCGAAGTCTTTGGCTAGGAGGTGCATCAAATGAGCACTGCAACCGTATGTTATTAGCTTGGGACTCTCTTCACTTTTTTCTAAATTTCTTCTCATCTTGGATACATTTGCAGCATTGTCTGTGACCAAGCTGCATACTAGACATTTGATTTTTTTTCACAGTTTGTTATAGCTTTTTCTACTGCTGCTACTTGTAAGTATTCTGCTGTATGTGCATTTCCTGATGTATCAATTGTTTCTGTAAGGAAGACATTCCCTTCTTCTGTTGTCACACAAGCACATGCAACAGGATCATTGTGGACATTGCTCCACCCATCAAGACTCAGGGTAACAACTTCATCCTCTGCACCTTTGCACACTGCTCAATTTCTCTTTCATATACTTTATCCAGCAATTTGCCTGCAACATCTGCTCTGTTGGGTGGACTGTATCCTGGTCTTAATGACTGAACCGTGTTAATGAAGTGTGGGTTCTCAATCCTACGGAAAGGAGAGTCTGTTGCATAAACAAACTGGGCAATTTTTTCATCAATTACCTCTTTTTGTAATCTGCTGGTTCTCATCACAAACTTATCTATGGTTGCTTCTGGTGATGGAGATTTTTTTTCTTTTTGATACAGGTGATATACTGTGGCTATGTGACATACATGATGTGACTGAAACACTATCATTGGCAGATAACTATGAAACTATAGAAAATGAAGGTGATCTTGAAGGTGTATAGTCCTCAGAATCCTTTATGTTGAGGATGGATTCTCCTAAACAAAATAAGCCAATGCATTTTTTTTGTTATTATGACCATATTACTCATTGCATTCACTGACACTGAGTACTACTTTAAAGTGAAATTGTAAAAGGAAGATCTGCCTATTTCAGCTATTTATTTTTTATCACAACTGTATCTAAAATGGTAGTACCATAGAGTAACTACTATATTTTTTGCTCAAACATGCGAAGTCAAGAATGGTCTAGAAGGAAGAGAGGCAGTGCTTAAGAAAGAAGTATGAAATAAAAAAGTTTACCAACCTGAAGATCCTGCATGTTCAGACATGCTCCTTTCATCATCTTCAACGCAGCTTCCTCCTGAGAAGGAACGCGTCTCATGATGTTTAATTCGGGCAACGAGGCCTTGCATTTCTTTGTTGCACTGTTTGCATTGTGCATGCATGCCTGTCTATTTAACTTCATTAAA